AAAACTATTTACATACTGTACATCGAGAAATGTGACCTAATGGTCATCCTACTTAGCTAATTTATTTTTTAGTATCCTAATTTTTTTATTTTTGTTATGGTTTTCCTTTGAAACCAGTTCCTTGTATCATTCCATATGCACTTTTGCCCATTCTGCAATATAAGACTCTATATCCAAATCCCACAATATCTATGTGTGACCATGGATAACAATAAAATTACAATTTCCATTTTAACAGATATTCCTTTGTAGACTCGATAGAAAGTTTAGGGTCATTTTCCGTTAGAAATCAAATCTACATTTAATAGGTCTTTTAAGACTGGTTATCATACAGGAGTGCAAAGTCTATTGATGTTTTTCAAGCTACTATACTGTATGTTCATTGATATTTTGTAAGCTGTGTTCATTGATCTACAAAATAAAGGCTTGTCAATGCCCGAGGAAGTAAAACTAGCTCATACCATTCTAAAGCCTCCAACAAAACTGGGTATGAATAACATTTTTTCTCCTCTTCCTCTCACATATTGTTCCTTTACGTGGTTAAAAATTGTCAACTTCAGCTGTGTTTGACCATAATATTTAAGACGTCATCGAGCTATTTTCAAATATTCTATAGAAAAAGGTTCATGGTTTTCTGCCATAAACATACATCTTGTTAGAGTATTGTTGAGTTCACTAAGAAATGTCTTGAAAATTGTCTCCTAATTATAAGGGTGAAATCTCCACATTGTACAACCGCAATACACATGGAGCTAATTGCAGTAATTTCTATTCAGTCAATAACAGCCCATGCAATGTTTTCATTAAAGTGAATTATTCTCAAGTTACACAGTAATTAGCATTGCTGCTTCGCAGCACTTGTGCCCTCAGTTCAATTCCTGGGGTTCTGTCTGTGAGGAGACTGTATGTTCTCCCATGTTCACATGGGTTTCCTCTTGATGCTCTGAATTCTTCCCACAGTCAAAAGATACAGTGTCAGGTTAATTAACAAAATGATCCTACAGTAAATCTCTTCATGTGATTAATTATGTGTGTAAGAGGGCTACCTTTGGGCTGACCATACTCAAGATTCTACAGGTGGAATGACAAGCAATTAACCCATTGTAACAAAATGCCTCTTTAACTACTGTTATTTTATTAAGGAATAGACTCAGTTGTATCTGCTAGTGGTCATTATATGTAACACAGGCAAATTATCACATCCCAGACAGGTCTGCCTTTTTGTATTATTGATTTGGTGCATCAGGTTTGATACGTTTGTGATCGGTGCTTAGAGACATGCACTCTCATTTTTTGTGATTGATCTGTTCTTGCAGCATGCAAATTGTCGAACCCATGGAAAGATGTACAAAAGAAGAAAACTAAATAAATGAATTTCACAGCTGTTATCACCAGGCCATGCATTGATATCCATATCAGGGCATACTTCCAGCATAACTGAATATGGTTCTACAGTAGGTGAGAGCATGGTACTGTTAAAATATATTTTTTATATATATAAATAAATTTTTCATTTTATTGTGGCATGTCACTGTACAATCACTGACAAATGTTTTGGGGAAATTAATGAAGATTTAAAAAGAAAGTGATTTTTATCATTCTATTTGCTTTATTGAAATACATACAGTAAAAGATCTAGCTGTGCAATAAGATGGGAAATCATTACATCATATACAGACACAAAACCTCACACCAAGCCCAATTTTCTCAGAAGCTAATTAAATAATCCAAATCTCATTTTTTATCTTTGTGTTATACGTCTAATAAGGTTATCTTTTCCTTCTTAAGACTTTCAAGAAGATCTAATTTTGATTTAGGTTTCAAATATACTGTACATATTGAACTGAAGAAATTTATTGACAAAAAGTCATACACCATTCATTACTGTATTATCTGTACTTTATTCTGCTTGTCATGCTACATGAATACATGACTGCATGCAACAGTGATTTACTTTTTTACTATCATTAAAAGTATAAAATGTGTTCCTCTATCAACATAAGATTGACAGATTGACAGACTACTTGCAGGGCTTTTAAAACGCAACTTTGCTTTATTCTGTTTATCTCTGATTTGTCTTTGTAGCTTCGAAACCAAAGGAATTTGAAGCTGTAATTAAATATTCATTACCACTTGAAGGGAACAGCTTTGTAAGCATAAGTTACTCAGCACAGAAAATCATTTCGACACTGCTTAACATCTTTTCAGCCTATGCTTTTACACGTGTTTTATACTGCATATACAGTATAGTTAAAAAAGGCATATTTACTTTTTATAGTTCCTAATAACATATTTTGCCTGATCTTACCAACCATTCCCAAAAAACCCAAACCTTCATAGTCATTGTTTAATTTGCAAAGTTATAGATACCAATAATACAGAATTAGGATTCAACAAATTAGTATGTTTTTAAAGAAAAAAAAATGTTCCTGTGTTGAAAATATTAGTAACAGTAGTTTAACTGCTGAGTGTGTAGCGGTCTTCTTTAAAACATATCATCTGCATTTCCATAGTTTTCTTTTTCTAGAAGTTAAGGCAAATTTCTGGGTGTGTTATGCAACATTTCAATGAGTAATCATTCAGGATCTTGTCATTAGCTGATGTATTATGTCCAGTACCATTTTATTGATTTAGCAGTCGTAGAGGGTCAGCATTTTAGGTCTGGGGTTGAGGAAGAAATCCTGATTTCAAGCAGAAATAAATGAGAGGCATAGAGATATTATACTGTGACCCCTTTCTCACTTGCATCTTTTAATGGCCTCTAGCTACATCAGGGCTGCCTTTTCTCAAATGTGATGTTCCCAAAACAAAAAAGCAGCCCTAGGCTGACATAAATCTAGGTTATTTTTTTAAAATGCAGCCCTGGGCTACTTTGTATATCATAGTACCAGTAAGAAGACATGATTATTGTGCCACTTTCAAGCTCTCTAGTGAGTAAGAGTAAAATAATGGAAATAAAAACAGGCACTGTTGTACTTAAACTGCAAACTTTGAGTGTGAGTTCCACTATTATTCTTATGTCTTTCTCTTTATCCTATTAATAATAATACAATTTAACAATTTAACATTTACTTTTATTTTTCTTTTAAGTATATAGAAATTATTATGATGTTCTGTACTGTATATATAATCAGATGTAAGAGAGACAGAAAGCCATCTTTTTCAGTATTTGTAATTATATTACTTTCTGTTAAATCAACTAGTGGTTACAACCTACCTGAATTAGACTTGGTTGTAACAGACTGCAAGGCAATTTTCCAAAATAATTATTGATACAGTGCCCTCCATTAGTATTGGGACAGTAAAGTCAGAATTGTTAATTTTTTGCTGTAGGAGTTGAAAAGATGAATATGTAGCAAATGTACAGAATATTACCTTTTATTTCTTGATATGTCTGCGCATATGTGCTTTACCTTTTCAGAATAGAAACACAAGGTTTTGGCTGTGGTGCCTTCTTCGGGTGCGAGCCTGTGTGAGAAGACTCCACAGCCAAAATGTTGTTTCTTTTCTTCTCTTTTCAGCATGGAATAAACCTTTAACTTGTTCCTTTGCAGCCTACGCATGCTGACACAGCTACCTACGTGAACTATTATATACATTTATGTATGTTTATGGCAGTTGACCATAAACATACTGTACATACATGTATGTAATGTGTTTTTCCCTAGAAACTAGGGTACTAGTGTAGTGTATGCAATATAGAACCAGTACTTTGGAGTAAATGAAATATCCATTCCTTGCTTTTTGTGTACGGGTGCTCTCACCTCTTCATGCCATGTGATTCTACCATTTAATATTTCTGTGTCTATATCCTGTTTACATTTTCAGTGTGAGACTGTTAAGTCATATTTAAATCTCATGTGTAAATGGAAGGAAGGAAGCAATTACTGACCTAAATTTGAAGGCCAACCTAATAATGTATGTGTGAATGGATTCCTTATTACAAAAGGAGGTGGGTGAATTGTCAATCACGTCCTACATGTCTCAGTTTTGCTGTTTTTATGTTATTGCTCCAGCTAAGCTTATTTGCTCAAAGACCAGTCCTCTGTTTGAAGCATTTGTTTTGTATTTCTTCTTTAATAACCACCCTATTTGGAATTATCATTTGTTTCTTTAATGTCTTGACTGACGGCAAAGACCCCTGCAGTTTGCAGGGGGATGCCGATAGGCAGATAAACTCCTCCAACCAATCCACCCATCAACCCACTCATCTTTCGACTTGCTGGAAGCTTCAAGATATTTTCTCTCTCTGGATTTTATTATATCATTCAGCATTTCATGTGTTCAGCTCGCAAATTGTAAATATTCACATGAAAAGAATAGACCAGCACATATATTATAATGTGGCATCATTTATACATTATATTTCATTATTATGTTCTGGGCCAGTTTAACCTGTCTTTTTCAGAATAAAATTTGTCTAATTACTTTATAAGTCTGTATTAACATAAAGTAAAGTGTGTACTGAATTACACCACAGCATGGAAGTTGTTGTAGATCTCACATCAAGCAAAATTTAAGAAATGCAATATTCAAAGTATTGGTGAAAGGTCACTTGTTCTGTACATCTAAATTATCCTGTTTTGTTTTTTAAAATAAATTATGTTCAAAGGTTTACTTAGTTCTACATTAGAACCAATTTTCTGTTTTTCTTTTGTTCTTCTGACTTCTAGTAATTATTTTGGTCCTGAAGACTTTTCTGTCACGTGCGCACAGTTTTCTGTGGGGAAAAAAATGGTTTTCATTTGTCTATTTCATTTTGCCAGGATATTCCTGACGGTGTGATCAGAGGTCTTCTGTGTTCCATTCTTTTTTAACTTTCTTCATTATGAAAAACCTATACCTCGATGCTCCCACAAAATTGTAATCCAAAGGTCTGGAACCTTCTATACACTATTCTGTTCTACTTTGGACATTCATCTAAGAAAGTCTGCCTTGACCACAGAATACATTTTAACTTTTGATTTGTACAATACAGAATTACAGTCTGGTATACAGGAGATGATAAAACACTTTATTTTGCTTCAGGCTTACAACATTGCACATGGCTCATTTAACATCCACTACTGAACATATCAACATACAGTATATACTCGATGTGTTACAAAAGCAGTAACAAGCTCCTTGTTAACAATACACTGTACGAACAGTGGATAAAAACACAAACATATGACATTAGTTAAATCTACCTGATGTACAGTTCATTCTATAGATAAGTATTACTGAATCACTCTTATTACAAGGAGTTTACTTATTTTGGGTGCCATAATTGAATTGAAATGAAGAAAGACATACTGTAAACAGCATGCTGTGCTGAAAGTCACCCCCACTGATTAAGTCTCACTTTTTTTAGTAGACTTTTTGTTCAATTTGTTCAATTACTCTTTCATATTACCTCTTTGAATATCTTTATAGCATATACTGTATGTATAGATTGATATTTAAGATTGACATTTATCTATGTATTTATATTTATTGTGGGTAGAAAAGTCTAATCAAATGATTTTTCATTTTATGAAACATCTTCTTGTTGTTCATATATTTATAGGTGACAAAAATACTGTAATGAAAAAAGAAATGAAAATCGAGGACCTGTTTACCACAGGATAAAAAATGTGAACTTACTGTAGCCTTTTTTCATTTTTTTAAAATGTAATCAGTATTCTGAGATGTAAAAACAGATAATCTTCCCAAACTGACTCAGATTATGGGTTGTGCGGCCAAATAGCATCTTTCAAATCAAAGGACCTGAAACATTACCTTGATTTGAATCTGTAAAATGTGTAGTGCTTGATTTCAACTACATCACAATATTCAGAAATATCGGACACCATAATTACAAAAGCAAAATATTCCTGTTTCGGAAAATACAAGCTTTACAAAGATGATGATGATGATGATGATTAATTCAGTAACCTAATACTGCAGAACTATATAGTCACACTACAACTTTAGGCAGAAGCATGCATAAGACGTAAAAGGTTGTTGTTTTTCCTGTGGAAACAGGAATGTTAACAAGTATACTGTACTGTATAGTATATTGACCATCTGTATACATTTCTAAAACACAAATCTTCTATAAATTCTACGAAAAAATCGGATAGTTGACCATATATAGACTTCACAGGATTCATTACGTAAAATTCACACAGGTTGAAACAGAAATGGAACATAACACAAATATTGTAAGTGAATCCACTGTATGAAAAGTTGCAGATATGGGTATATTCAGGTAATGCTTAAAAACTGACTGATTATTAAAAGATGACAGATGCAGATCTTCACTTTTAAAATTATAGCATAATGCAACTGGGAATTAGCCCAGTACTTTTAAAAATAAATTCACTTTTAATGCAATGCAAGCTCAAAATTAATCATGGTTCACTATCATGGTTTGATATTGCATTAAGTGTCATAATATTTTCCTACCTACATATTCCCATGAAAGATATTCTCGTTTTTCATTTATTTTTTATAAGGAAACAGATGTTACTAGCACTCAGTGTACAAAGTTTTTGCATATATTCCAGGACTATTTCACTTTCTCTGGTATAAATACAGTATCAGAAAACAATAGGAAAAAAAACAACAATCACAAATATTATGATATTATTCATGTATGTATAGTATTAGAGATTATTTGATGTGACTCAGTTTATTTTATTTAGATTATCTATATAGTCAAACTACAGTACATAAAATGCTTATGACTATAATAGGTATTTGTCTGTAATGTAGTTCCTTTTCCAGATGCAGTATTTTGAAATCAGAGCAACATCTGATGACATCACTGTACTCATTTCAGATATTAACACATAGCTTCTAAAGACACGTAAGTATTGTCCTGTCTTCATCGGTTAGTAGGAAGTGAATGGTAGAGATGAAAATGTATTCCCAGTAAGAAGTTCTGAACCACAATCACAATACAATCAGGTTCATGGATATGATTTAACTTGTTAGCACCCTAACCCAAAGTTTTAAACCTAATATTAAAACCTCACACTCATTGCTCTTTTAATAAACACATGAGAAAATACCTCAGTAGTTACTACAGTGTACTTTTTCCATGTCAATTTCTAGGTCAATGAATACTGAGAATGAGTACTGTATGACCAGTCCTGAAGTTTGAAGTTTGCATTGTATGTAAAACGAAACCATACGATATGAAGTGTGTCATTAAACAGAGTAAACATTTCTTCTTTTATCCTTTTTATATGGGATACAATGCAGTCTCTGGAAATGACCTCTTTTTCTTCTTACTGTATATAAAACACACTTTGTATCTTTGAAAATAATGAGTAATATCTTCATGCAGCATCACAGTTTATGTGCCTAAATTATGCTAAAAAATTTTTTACTCCTGATCACATCCCAAGAGCGTTCTTCATTTAATTTTTCTGCTCATCTTTTTCTTAATGATCACTTTTACGTGCACAATCAAAGCTACAATACACAAATGTGTTTTCTAGAATATCTACTGTTTATATAGCACTCTTTATATTTGACAAGATTATGTTGCAATAAAATTAAATCTTCCTGTCAGAAGACAGTATAATTTAGAAATATTTACAAAACAGTGGAAAGTTTCAATTTTGACAAAATTCATATACTGTACTTGCACGTGACAGATATTGTTGACTATTAAAAAAGAATATGGATTTAAATTATATGTTTTTAATATTTGCACCAAGAAGGGAAACGATAAAAATTACATATTTTTGAATGAGTCTAATTCTGTAAGTGCAACAAACGGCTGAGAATATTAAAAAACAAAACAAAATCCAACTTTACATTGAAAACAATAATAGACTTATTTATAGTATATCAACTTATCATACCAGGATAATTCATTACATCACCAACTTTCTCAACAAGGTGAGCCGGTATTGACAAAAATATTGTTCAATAGCTTTCAGCTTCTGTAATCTGGCGTTGTGGCATGATATATATACACTGTATATACTACGAAAATAGTAAATTCACTTAAAAGAAGTAACTTTTTCATGTGCAGAAAACAATTCTAACTACATTTCATTTACAAATTTCAATAAAATCACATTATTTTTAATGGATGCTATTTACAATTTAATTTAATGTAGTTTTTTTTTGTGTGCGTGCATGTGTCTTAATAACGTGCGGTCAAGAGAAAGTGCCAACACAAGCATAGGAACTCCTGACAAATAACACATGTCAGAAAGGTCATAAAACAAGTAGAATCCTTTGAAATCTGAAAGTGCTAGCAATATTTTGTTTAATTTTCAACTGCAATGAAAAACGAAGTGCTTTTTGGATGTCTTCACAAAGAAAGGAATAGGAAAAGTCTGTGTAAAAGAAGATCAGTAACTAAAGGGAAATAGATCCTAGACTAAGAGCAGACACCAGACCTTCCCATTAATGTTTTCCTTTCATTTAAGTGTCCCGCTTTTTTAACTGTTTCACATTTTCCTTTTTGTTGTAATGAGACATGATTTCTGTAACCTTAATGCATATGAAGGTCAAAGCAGCGCGTTGTGCATTGTGACATTCTGGCGCCATAGCCCAGCCTTTTTTATTCACTTCACTGCTCCTGATCCGGTTACATTGCCAACTTTAATGTGCTGTGCAAGCAAAGAGAGACACTTCCTGTAACAGTGCCAAAAGACCTGTAGCAGATTCATACAAAGACTCTGGTGTCAGAAACACTTATGTTAACAAATGCATCATTTCTGCCAATGGAGATCATTGAGAAAGCAACATTATTTGTGTTTATCATCATGGCTACTGTTAGTAATAATAACAAGTTAGTAATAAGGTATTCAAGCAACTGCATTTTTTCCTCACGTCTTTGCTTGGATTTCAGTGCAATGACCAAAATGTAACTGCTTGTCAAATCGCCAATCTAATCTGGTTCACACAAGATAGGCAGCTCTATTCTCAGTTTTACAAACAAACTATAGTCTGGCATATAACTAATACAGTAGGTATTTCCAAATGATTCAATGACTAATGGTCTATTTAGAGCACGTCAAAGGTCCTCTAATGAAGAAATTTTAACTTTGCATAATGTATGGGCTATGTTAATAACAACTATCTCTGTGATTAAGCAAAATGGCAACACTGGGAAAGTATATAGTTAGGATATCATCGGCACACCATGTAGCAGCAGACTGTAACTTGTTGGGCACCTTGTTATCAGGTAAAGTTGAAAAGAGACAGATACTGTAGCTCAACACTATATATTTCAGTGGGTAATTGCACATTGTTTCTCCTGTGCTGTTTATACAGCTGTGGCAGTCTGCCAAGCTGACTAATAATTTGCAGCTCCAGATATAAGAATAAAACAACAATTAATCAATGACTCCATGAATGAAATGGATAAAAACCGAATAAAAGTTATTTCCTCCCTCAGAGAATGCAGTTACTTGTATGAGGCAGAAGGAGTTGTTGCATTTTCTGTATATTCCAAAAGTATAAATTTAGATAAGTTTTAGACCAAATCAGCTAAGTGTTTTCACTTAAAACCCTTTCTACTAATTTTAATATTTGCATATTACTAACATGTGAGTAGCAGTACTGAGATAAATTCCCAAAAGAATCAGAAAATAAAAACAGTTCAGTCCCAAACAAATATAAATGGTTTGCAAATGTCATCTGGATTCAGAAGCTTGCAACAGTAAGTGGTTGTTAAACAGTGGCTGAGTGGTATTTACATATGGCAATCTAGTCATTCCCCAGAAAAAACTAACTCTCGACAGATTTCCTGTGGACTTCAATGCCAGCTGACTTCAGATTGTTCTTACAAATTTCATCTATACTGACTACATCAGAGATAATTTGAAATAATGTAACTTGAGATTTACAGCATGCCCTTGACGAAACCAAAATTTCCTTATCTTTGTTTTTAATCATCATTCTTTCAAAGTAAATTGTGAAACCAATTCCAAATGTTAGTGTCTTTCTGTTGTAATTTTGTTGTTTGCTGCTGACAGGGCTGCAAAATAATTCATTTCAAAAGAAATATGTGCAAAACATCTGATTAAAAAATTATGTTAGATATGAAGGATGCCAACACACTTGAAAAAAACTTTTTTTGCTTCTGTGCTCTACCAGTGCGGTATTACACATTCACATGTTAAGTACACGTGAAATATTTAGACAGCACATAAATGGGAACAAATCAGTCTTTCCTATCAAAAAATGCTAAGCTTCTTGTCATAGGTTTCTAGAGTTCTTAGCTCTGATACAGTATATAATGATACACACCTCTAATTTAAGAGAAAGTGGATTTTTAAAAACGTTTTAAATGATATAAAAATCAAGGGAAGAAGTACCATTGTGTACCATATTTGTAGTGGTGACTGGTCAATCATGTCATGACAACTCTGCGGGATTTTCCTGTGAATGATTTTGATTATAAGAACATAGCAGTAACAGCTTCTGTCAACATTTTTGCATGTGTCCATTAGAGAGGTTGAATATACATATAATATTTAATGGTCTTTTATCTTCAAATTTTAATGTAGTTTCCAAAAATGGACATAATCCATATTTCATTAGAACAAAGGCTTTGTTTCTGATAAATGGTTTCTAGTTCTGAAAACTGCTGCTACATAATTTATGGGGGTTACTTTTTGCAATAGAAGCAACATTGAAGAGATGTTCATACTGCCAGCAAAGCAATAATTATTTCTTTATATGAGCACGCTAATAGAATCAGGAAGAGACCCAATCACGATGGGTAAGGTAGTGATGTGCAGTATAATAAATCTTAAACCATTAATATCTACTTATCCTAAAAAATGACCAAGGGTCAGGATAAAAGGTATATCCGTGTAGTCTGAATTTTAACTTTACCCACCAATTAGGAATATATGCATTCCTTAATAGACATAAGTATATATACAGTATGATAGAAGAAATTGTAAGATTTATATCGTAAGTTCTATGGAAAAAACAAAATTATAACTGTACAATCAGAGAAGAAATATGTGTTTAGACTGTCTATGGAGTGATAAATTAATAAAATGTATTTGCATATGAAATCCATTACTTTCTTTGAAAAGAAGGCAAATCTTTTTTACTTATTTCAAAGGGTTTACTGTGAATTTCTTCCCAAGATCTAAACAGTGGCTCAGATATGATTCTTTACTGCCAAGGCTCTTTTATTGTAATTTAAAAAGATTGTATATTAATAAGTGTTATATTGTCATTCTTTTTTACACAATATTCTATTATCGTATAAATTAGAAGAAGTGTTAAAAGATATTTACTGTACTGTATAGACAGTAACAAGTTTTAGTCTGTTTTAATCAACATATTAGACGAATCAAATCTTCTCCAAATGATCGCAGACACACGGCTTCCCTATTAAATGTGAGCACACTGGTGTGCCTTTAAACATCAAAATGCATAGAGCATTTGTAAAGTAGAGCTGGCTGGCTGTTCAGGGATGTAAGGATATTGGTAATGTACTGTAGGTATCCCAGTGAAGGAAGATGAACAAATTTATGCTGGCCACTAGTCCCTCATTTGGTGTTTTCAGACTAGATAAACATTTTCAAACATAAAATAAATATTCAAACATAAAACTAATATACAGTTTGTATAATCACTTTAAAATCTCATTTTAAATATAAATGTTTAGTATATTAATAGCCAGAAAATAATCCTCCTGGATTTTATCATTAGCTGGCACAAATAAAGCAGTAGAAATGTTCTCTTTTGTGCACAAATCAGTTACGTGTGTACATTGGTGGTGAGGCTTTTTATATTGCACTAAAATTAATGTTGATCTTTTGATTAATACATATCAGACTCCTGCAATGGTGGTGATATCATAAGAGAAGTTGAAGTAAATGTGGAAAAGAAAAAAAGTAATAATAAGTGTTGGGAAACCAATATCAGTGTGCAGCCAAAGGTATAAAGTAATTTACCCTCAAAACTTAGAAGACAGCATCAAAATATGCTTCTTGATCAAAAGTGTCTAGTCACTGTCATGAAAATAATATAATCTGTGTTGATTTTAATACATACATATCTTGAGCCAACATTACCGGCTCGTTTTACACTGTGTTTTAAAACGTCTTTTTAAATAAAAAGGCAAATAAAATCAAACTGAAGATTTCTCAATTTATGGTTGTTAGTTAAAATTACTATTTATCAGTTCAGATAAACACATCAGTTTTGACATTTGTATTTTATGACCTTCAACGGGGAAGAGAACATGTACACTTAAATTTGGAGGAAATGGGTTCGGCATTCACTGAAAAAGACATCAACACTCTTTTTTTCTCCAAACTAAATGGAAACATTTCTTCAAACTTTTATTTTAAAATTGTGAATATAGATTTTTAGAAAATCATGAAAAAGTTGGGAAAATCTATGCAACATATAGATTACTAAGGCTTCTGTGTTATCTATAGAATTTGAAAGGGAAGGAGGGAATTATGCTTTTGAATTTAATTTCTTCATACCTTGTTCTGAGGTATATAATTAAAAAAATATATGTACAAATATTGAAATAAATATAAGAGATTTGGACACCTGATGATTTGGGGGCTTTCTTGTTTTGCTGTACATAAATGCATTTTCTTTCTTCTTTAATGAATGTTCTGTATGTGAAAATAATTATTCTAAAAAAAAACATACCTTCTCACATTAAACATATGGCACTTTTCATTTTGTTGACACAGTACCAGTATGATGATATCATTTATCTTTGGAATGCCCAATTTACAGATTCAATTCTCCACTAAAAACCATATATGAATGAAAACCGTTGTTTTTTTTTCTGACTTTCTGACCGATTTTAACACTCATGGAAACTAAATAAATTCTCAATGTTCTTTAACCAAGACTCTTCAAATTAGTAAGCATTATTTTTACATTTAAACAATATGCTATTGCTTTCCTGGGAGACTTTATTTCATATTTTACATACTAATACATTGATAAAAGTAGGAAAAAAATACAATTGGTATTAAAACACAAGGATACCTGTGTTTAGCACTGTATCTGTACAACAACAAGTAGATAATGCTATTCAACTATAAAGAAAATGATTTTTAAGCACTAGAATAATACTTTAAAACTGAAAATATTTTGCATGTTTTTCCTATTACTGAAGTTCACATTGAACTCCCATACTTTCAATTGTTTCACTAACAATTATACAGAAATTACAAAAAAGCTTTTGTTTTTATTGATAACTAGAACACTGTTTTATGCTTCTTTGCTATAGTACTTCTAACTTCTGTTTTTTTAATTTTATTCTAAACATTAATTAATTTGTTCCACAAACAAATTATTTGTTTTACAAAAACAACAGCAATAAGTTCATGTTTTTTCTGAGGCTACAGTTTAGTGATGCAATTTAGAATTATTTCACATTTTCAAAGTTTGTGGTTCAGTGACTTCAATTAATCAGAAATATTTATTTACAAACTATAATGTCAGACAAAAATTGGAACTGCGAATCAATTAAACTCACAATATTCACTATCATTCTAAGTTTTAAAATAATTGACACTCTTTTGTAGCCTTCAGTTATGGATCAAAATGTTTTCTGTTACAAACTCTCTGTAACAAAATGCAGTTTAATTTATAAGTGGAGTGTAATACAGGACAATGCTTCTCATTTTAAAAAAGTGTAAATGCTGACATCAGTTATTAGTTTCATCAACAATAGCCCATTTTTAACCATTGAAGACAAAGGAAAACTGAAGAAACAAGGAAAGGGCCCTTTCCTAGACAACGTATCATAGTTTCACTGATTAGCAGTGCATCAAAAGAAATATAAAAGCATGAGGAAATCGAAGTACTACAAATTGACAGTGTTGTACTCGTCTGAAGCTGAGGGTGGAATAATTTAATACAGCTTACCTCCGTGATCCCAACATTAATAAATGTACGAAATAATAATTGGTCATGAAGACATTAGAATGCAACAATGCTGTACCATTTGTAGCCAGAACTAGAAAGGAATTAGAGAAAAATCAGAGATTCTGTCACCTGCCACTCCTCCAATACCCACTTGAGATAAATGTAAAAAAGGAAAGTAAACTAATTTCTTTTAAATTACTGCAAGTGAGGAAAGTGGGCACATACTGGGGAGTTGTTTACAAACCAGGCATATAACCACATGTCTCGAGTTTAACCGATAGATTTTTGCAGCTCAGACCTACTGTAAAATTTGAATACATTTTCTCTAGTGATAATTTGACATTTATTAGCTTGAAATTAATTCTATCATGTATCCCTTTGCTTAGTTCTGGATTTTTTAATTCCAATGTTGAAGATCAGGATATTTAACGGCCTACAGCTAAAAGGGGGGAAATGTAATACTCATTCAGTTTGTCTATGAAAACAACCTGTCCTACTGGTTTTCTACCTGGTCAGTTAAAATGCAAGTGAGGTCATTTTTGTTCTTCTTAAAATCCTCACAGATTTAAAGATTAATGCACCAACAACTGTCCCCAGTTAATCAGGGCATGACAACAAGTACAGTGACATAAAATCAAAAATTTAAACATGCACAACAACAACATGTCAATGGAAAAAGAGGTGAAAGCAAATCAAGAAAAATCCAATAAATAAGGATGGAATACTGCTAGTATCCCTCTTGATGTGGTAAACTGGAGTCTCTCAGATCAGGAGGGGCCCAGGGTACTGACAGTTGTATAACTAAACTTGGAAAGTGAGGCTCCAGTAGCTACTATGTCATCTTCGGACTCTCTCAGTCGCCTACAGGGCTTCCAGCAGCAAGCAAAAGTAGCTAAAAAGGCTTTGCGGAAACGCTTGTTCATGAAGCAGTAGATGATGGGGTTGACGCAAGCTGAGGTGTAGCTCAGCAAGTGGATAAAAGAAATGGGCGCTCCTGAAAGCGCGTTGCTAGCTGATTGATGATCAAAGGCCTTCCATGTATTGACTGAGTAGAGTGGCATCCAGCAGACAAAAAACATGGCCACGATGACGATCAGCATGCGAATGACGCGCTTCTTGGCCATTAGCTTGGCTTCTGAGGTATTGCTACGTGGGCGGTCCAGCTTTGTCCCACCACAAGGCGTCAGAGTGGACATCTCCATTGTGTTGGGGCGTTTTGACACCTGGATGTAACAGCCGTCCCCCTCATCACAACTGGGAGAGGCACTTCCAAGACCATTCAGACCATTCTTTTGTGCTAAAAGAAGAAATGAGGGAAGGAAGCCATAAGTACAACATTAACAGAGTTTTCACATATTTCTGTAGAAGTGACAGATAAACTTGCATGGTATTATCAGTTTCAAGATTTTAACTTTAGTATTGAAAATGTAATGTAAAGTATTTTAAGATACCACTTCCATAAGAGTTGGTGTTCTAATATACTGTAATAGAGAAAGGATATTTTCTTTTTCAGCATAGAACTTCTTTTAAGCATCCATCCATTTTCTAATTGCTTTATTCAATTCAGGGTCATGAGGAGGCCAGAGCCTACATGTATCTCATCAAGCAACGGGCTTAAGGCACTGGATGGGACACCAGTCACCACAAGGCACACAAAAAACATGCACATACTCAAAACAGGGCCAAATTCACAGAAGCCAATTAACCTACTAGCATGTCTCTGAACTGTGGGAGGAAACCAAAGCACCCGGACAAAAACAGCACAAACATGGGGAGAAAATACAAACTCCACAGAGATAGCACACTGGAATCTGGAACTGGAATTGATATATATATTCTACTCTGATTAAAAAAAAACTAATTAATTCTACTAAGACATTATGAGGGACTGCTTGACTACATCAAACTGCGATCGTTTCTGATTAGTGTCTTAATATGTTTGGGAAAAATATAGGATTTTTTTCTGATATCTCAGTTTTTTATATATGAAAAATTATATCATAATTTTTAATTAAAAATTTGGCAGCACTTTTTGTTCAGGAGCCCTGAGCAGTCCTGGCATGTTCTGTCTGTGAATTCAGTTCACACAGTCTCAGTGGTGGTTTTCATCGTGTTGACATGCAGTCAGGACCCGACTGGCCATCAACAAATAATGCAATTGAAATTGTGTTCTAAAAATGTCTGAGAGCTTCCATGAGATGTACTGATGATTCATTCGATGAAGAAATATCTGAAAATGTCAAGCAATCATATTGTAGAGGAAATAGAAATGTCATAATTCAAAATTGAAACGTAAATTATTGGACCATGAAGTACACCTGAGCATTGTTCCATTCCTCTTTGGCACATGAGGTATAAACACAAAATAAAATGAATACATGTTCAAACAGAGTTTAAGTAATCAGTATCTGCGTCATTTTTTAAAAGCTCTATACGATACTTTTCCCCATACATACTGAGAAACAAAAGGCTGTTTCTCAGTTTACTTTCTCCTGTACATGCTGTATAAGGTATTAAGTGTTATTTTTTAAAAAAATCTGTTATCATAGCATGTATATATCCTTTCTGACCTTGCTTTGTTTTAAATATTTAACTATTCTGAGCAGCTTTCTTTAGAATGTGTGATTACCATGATAGGAATAAATCACAAAGTGCTTGCAATAGTGCAGATTGTCACGTTTCATAACAGCTGCTAACAGACATTTTTGAATTCTTTGATGTTCTTTGCATGCAAATAAATATTTTACATTTCAGAATAAATAAATTAATAAAGATTCTAACATTTCAAAAGTTAAAATGCTTGAAACATTCATAAATGTTGTGAAATTGTTGTGTAAAAAAGTATTTTTTTATTCAACTGCATCATATAAATATATTGCAGTGTTTCATCTTAGTAGTTAAACATAATGCATCCCAAATCTTGGTAGTAAAAATAAGTTTAAGGGGAATAAACAGCAATAGTCATATATCTAATGGCTTTGCAAGACATATTGCCTTTTTCTCTAAATCCAAATTGGTGGGTTTAACCAATGCAAAATAAAAAATAATTATTTTAAAATCACATTTTTAAATTGAAGAAAAAAAGAGTAACAGCCCCTATCACAATAGAATAGTACTGTATGGCTCATGAATAACACTCAAAGTATGTTTAAAATAATGATCATCAGAACTGCACTAGCTCTGAGCAGATAAGGAACATTTCTCTGTGTTCTTTTCAAATAGCATCTGCAGAGGTTTTGGTGCATCTTTATCTAAACGTTGAAATAAATAGTGTAAGATCTTAATATCACCACCTGGCTTTTGACACATTAAATATAATCTTTTTTAACAAGTGTAGACTTCTATTATTTTCTTTAACACCACATACAGTATCTTCATAATGAATACCTTTAGTGCCTATGGAAATTTGCCGATACAAACCATACAGTGTCAGGTAAAATATGCAACAAGATCATGGTCAGGATATGACCATACAACAGTGATCCACAATCAAGAATTACTTTTTTTCTCTGGATTTTATTATTTAGGTGCTAAATTGTTTTAAAATTTTCAATTTTCAATGATTTTCAGAAATATAGATTTTCTCCACTCATTGACATTTTTTTAAATATTATCCTGTAAACATTGAATCATAACTCAGGTGGGTAGCTGCGTCAGCATGCGTAGGCTGCAAAGGAACAAGTAATAGGTTTATTCCATGCTGAAAAAAAGAAGAAAGAGAACACAACGTTTCGGCCATGGAGCCTTCTTCAGGTGTGAGCTGAAGAAGACCTGAAGAAGTCTTCAGGTCTCACACCTGAAGAAGGCTCCACTGCCGAAAGTTGTGTTCTCTTTCTTCTTTTTTTCAGCATGGAATAAACCTATTACTTGTTCCTTTGAATCATAACTTACTCTAATGTAGTTATGTATTTAATGTGGTACTTATTTAGTAGTCCTTATTGTGTACTGTAATGTACACTGTAGTGTACTGTAAAAAAACATCATGTATCTAATATTGACATTATTTTTGCAATCTTAAAAGCTACCAACCAACAAAGGCTTCAGAATTATTAAGTGAAACATTCCTCTGGAAACAAGTCAAAAACTAATCAGATGGACAAGAAAGATGATTTTTATGTGAAAACTGCCTTCTGTTTCATGTACTCTGCCTACTGGAATTACATTAGCTATTTCATTAATAGTTTCATATATGTTCATCACTAGTCATATTTATTCATAATCATTGTAGTGATTTAGATTACAGTACATTCATACCCTGGTATAAGAACATTCTGTATAAGAATTTTCGCTCGCCCAAACATGAAGAATTTGTACCTTGCAATTCGTTATAAGAACAAAATTTCACTAATTTGAACTTTGAAGCTTGAAAGTGACCAATTTTGGTCGAGAACCTTCTTCAAACAGTTGAATTCGGTGCCACCGAACAGCTGTCTGTTTTTCCAGGCGTGCGCAAGGCTTTGTGATTAAGGACACCGTGAGGCAGCAGTGCTTTTTTTACGAGCACAGTGAAAGCTAGTGTTCTCATTTTCAAAGTGTTTTTATGTGTTAGTTTTGTAGTTGCTGTTCATTATGGGCCCTAAGAAAGAGAAAAAGATTCTTCAGCGTAATAGTCAACAACAGTATGCGCATCATTCTAGGCAATCGCTTGGATAGCTTTCTATTATGAAAGAATGAAAAATGTAAATATGATATCATTAATTATTTTATAGCTATAGCTGGCTTATTTGAGTAGAACTGCATTCTTCACTAAGCTTGCTATAATGGTCTGTATGGTATTATATGCTTAGAGTGGTTTTTGAGGGAACAGGGTGGAATTTCCCCATTAAGAAATAATGGAATTTTCATTTTCGATTTACGATCTCCCGCCTTCAGATACAGATTTTCAGGAATAAATTAGGTTCAGATACCAGGGTATAAGTGTATTTAAGAAGCTCCAATGGATAAGGCCAGGTGCCAATACAAAACAGCAATGATATGTCTACTTTATTCTAGTGTTTCTTTTCTAATATTAGGAATTCTCTACAAGATTTCTTACAGTAGGACCTCACCATTTGCTTCCTTTTTCTGGCCAAGTTCAAACTGTATTCCACGGTAGAGCTCCCTCGAAATGAGTCCATAGGCAATAATCATCACAATCCCCGGAATAAAGAAAAGAATAAACAACAGTAAGAGGTACCTGAAAGACAAGAAACAGAAAGAACAGAAAGAGCAGGTTCAGTGGAAAGGTGAAAAAGGTTCATTTACGTTTCTTACCAGCAATGTGTGTGATTTATGAAAATTATCATAAAACTAGAAAACATCATAAAATAGGAAATAATCTATTAACTTTATTTCAGTAAAAAAATATTACAATTCAGGGTGAACTTCTGCTGAAAGGTAGTAAAGGAAACAGGATATACTGTATATACTGTAGGTATTGCACTGTGCAGATGCTTGTCATAGGACAGGTATGCTTTCTAATAAGGTCATTATTAAAGGAATATACTATAACACTGTAAAATAAAATGAAAATTTTTCAAGCCTAAAGATACTATTATACGTTACCAGGCTTTTATAATTTTAATTAACTTTGGGTATCCTTTTCGTTTTGATTTAATTCAAATCCTTTTTAAACAATCTTTTACTGCCAGATATGAAAGTGAATTATCTCAGGCTGTTGTAGAGTCTTTTCATTAAAATGCATTTGATTCATTTCAAATCCATTTAGACCAACACTGAAGGGCATAAATTACATTAAAATGCCCTGAAACAAACATACCAGGAAGCAGGTTAAGCGGGCAATAAACAAGCTTTGTTCGTATCATTCTTTTATCTTCAATAGTTGCAATTCTATTCAGTAAAGGCCATCACGGTGCACATAATCCAATGGAAGAAGTGCACAGACTAAAGCAAGAGTTGTGCTTTCTGAAGCATCACAATACATCTCTGGTGGGTGAAAATAACTTGTACCCTGTCTTTAAAGCAGACAGCATCCTTTAAACATCTGCCCAGTGATGAAACCCCAAGGAGCATTCGGGAGAACCTTTCATTTAGTATTGTCAGTTTACAGTAGAACTGTGTTCTAACTACAAGCTGGCCAGTGCAATTAAAACCTGAATAAATAAAAAATGCAGTGAAGCATTTCTACTGCTAAAATCTCCTACACCTTCCAACTAATTGGCAGGACTTCTTTCTCCTTCCATCAATACTTTTGGCTGCTCTGTTGACATAGAACAAGCAGGTTTTGGGTTAGAAATAGTTTTGCTGTATTTGTGGGATAATATTAAATTTGTTGTTAATATCTTCTGTTTAATTAGCTTTCTCAGTCTTTTGCAATCACTGCTCTCTTTTTATTTTTATTTTTAATATAAAGTACAACTGTTTTCAGTTGTATAGTTAGAACATTTCTCTTACTTGTACCAATTTGTAGATATCTGCACATTCTGTTACATAATTTAAATTTTAAATTGTTTTCTCCTATATGCTCAATTGCTTTCTTATTGTTCTGTTTTCTGTGTTATAGAAATGTAAGCTTCTTGGGCAGGCCATCCCTCTAAACGTGAATTTGTTCTTACTCTGTTAAGTAAAGAGTTAATTCTTTACAGAAACTCTGTGCCATATGCCTGAAATGTGGCATTATGTTAAGCTGTGTTTTATATGTAATTTATATAATAACCACATTGTTAATCCACTTGATATTAATGACTTTACATAAGATTTATTATGCCTCAGACCTTTAACAAGAAGTTTTTAAAAAGCATCGGTATGCACATATGCTGTATCCCTTCCACAGACATTGGTAACATAAACCATCTGTTTATGCTTGTATTGTGGGTACTGTTAACATGTTTGACTACAAAATTGTAGGTGGAAGATTTCTGTATTATTTACCTTGAGTACATGACTGCATCTTTTATGTCTGCAAATACTATTTTTAGTATATATTTGAAAATGGATACACCTTTATATCTTCCCACATCACACCAATATAGATATACGGTGTTTTAAACAAATTATTGCTGTAAATTACTAATAAAATCTAAATGGTTTTCACAGTATTTCATATGCTTTTCTACAAGTAATCAGATTATTGTATGCCACCAATACATCTGCCACAAGCTAATACTGTATTAATGTAAAATGTCATTGCTAATACTAAAATTAAATTCAACTGTTGTGCTTACCTATAAAATGTATTGCATTGTGTGTGTTCCATGTTGCTTTATTAATATGGATGAAATTATTGTTTCTAACATGAATGTGATTCAAGTACAAGTATGAAAACACCAGAGATACGAGCTATGACTCGACCAGCCGAAACCTGTGGAATCGTCTCACTCCCCACATCACATCTGGGATGACTGGCTTCCAAGAATCTCCCTCTGCCTGCTCAACCACCCACACAAGCAAAATGAGGCCTGCCAGCTTCTCCACAGAGAGCAAAACAAGCAAGAAGAACTGGCTAAAAAACAAACTTACATAATATTCAGCTTGTTAGTACCCTGTCTTGTTTGGGCAAGTTTACTTTGCATTGTAACTTCAGAATTCTTCAGATCTGAGGTAAAGGAGGTAGGTGGGCTGTTTTTGTTTTTTACGTTTTTTGACTGTTTTTAAATGGACATCATATGATTAGATTATGCATTTAAACTTAAATTAAGTATTCATAAGAGAATTGTTGTTGTTTATGTATTGTACCTTGATGTCCAATTTGCTATGGATTGTGATTTCTAAATATACTATTTAAAACTAATTTGGAAATTGTCCCATTAACCCACAAATTTCACAAACATTCAACTATCTTTGTCAGAATTGCACTGAAGTACCGTCTTACCCCACAAGAGAATGAGGGATGAGTAATGAGATCCCATGTTACCTAGTAACTTGAATACACTGCTTAACCAATCAATTTGGACATGGAATTTGTATTACAGAGAAAGATGCTACATGCCGTCACTTTTGTCATCACAAACGCAAACACATTTTGCTTACAAAGCTATTTTTTATTTTTACATATATTAGACTTAACTTTAGATGATTTTTCTTGAAATTACGTCTTTATCTAAGTACACACTTAAGTGTGCCTAGGCAATCTTACAGCACAAAACAATTTCCCAGCATTAGGGATGGTTTAAAATATTTTTTGTCTAGCCGTGAATTAGTTTTGTAGTTTAATTCTGGAAAACAGCTGTTATGCATTGGAAACTATGGTGGTATCTGCCAAGGCTGTCAGGTATTTCACAGCATGACTTTCATATGGCAAACTAAAAACAGGGATGGAAACCGATGCTGTTTTTTGGAGCAAAGCACGAGAATTAAAAGGAACATTCCAGAAAAGTAAAGGTTTTACCAAACGAAAAAAGTGATAATGAACGCTGCAGAGCTGATTTTAGCTCAACACACAATATACAGTACTTTTTCAGTAAAAGTAACCAGACTGCATCAAAGAGATTAAAAAAAAATGTGAACTTGAATTAAAGTAACATAAAGAGCAAGTTCTCACAGCACTCACCAAGCCTGCTGCACCTCATCTTTCGGCCAAATGAGACGACATTTGTGTGCCTGGGTTTTGTTTGCCTTAGTGTACATAATAAGGATGCTGAAGATTGGGTAAGGGATCATGATAATGAAGGACAGGATCCAGGTGGCGGCAATGACGCGGTAGGCATGGGACCGGGTCTGCCAAGCTCTGGATTTGAGAGGGTTGCAGATAGCACTGTATCTCTCTATTGCTATCGCCACCAGACTAAAGGTAGAGACGCTCACTGAGATTCCTGCAAAAAAGAGGATGATGAGAAATATTACATTCACTTCTTCTATGTAATGTTTCAGCAAGGTGAACAAGAAACACAATATTTTTAGAATAGTTTCTTATACAATATGTCCTGTGCTGTTTTTTTTTTTCTCTTGGTAATAAGAGAAAGGTAATATATGTTTGAGACATGTAGAAAACGAAAAGCCCACTTCACTAAACAGTGACACTATACTGTTTTGGACCCTCGTTGAATGTCACTAATTTGAAAAGAGAGCCCAAAGAATAAAATGGGATCAGAAGAGCTGTATAGAAGAACAAGAAAGAAGGTCAGGCAGAGATTAGTTTAGACTAGGCTGTTTGCGTGAGGATTAGATCGGGAACTACTACACACTGAACATAACAGACGTTATGCAAGACATGTAGTGCTAGCTGTAATGAACATCAATAACTGGTTCTCTGATGTTTTGTAAATGCAAATCATAAAGTCTTAAATGTGTTTAATTTGAATGTAGAACACAAAATAAAAAAATAACTAAAACTGTGCAAAGAGAAAATAGTTATTAGTGTTACAGACATTTCTACATAAACTTTGCACTGGAAGCTGTGTATTTTTTATTTAAATAATCCTCACACTAAATACTGTATACTGTATATCCCTATATGTTTTAAATATGTTGTCAATATTATTATAAAATATATGCCAGTGTTACACAAATGCAATCAGTAGCATCCGGTATGGTTAGAAATCCAGATAATCTAGAAAATCTAGATAATCTTTGCATCATGGGGAAATGGCTACAGGTGACAATTAATGTAGACAAGTGAAGAGTTGTTACGTTTCAGGTGCCAAAAACATTTAATAATTATAAAATAGGAACCATTGAGCTTGTAGAGGCTGCTTATAAAAAAGACCAAGGTTTATAGTGACACATAACTTTCTTCTTCTAGACAATGTGAGAAAGCAGTGTAAAAGTAAAAAGAATGTTAAGATATATATAGTTAAAGGATGTAAATCAAATCAAAATACAGAGGCAGTGGCTAATTTAAAACATTGAGCTGCTGCTCTCAGTGGCTTGACCAGCAACAGGAATACAATTGCACTTGCACCATACAGCCAAAAATAATGTGCTGATTCCCAGACCACAACATATTCCCACATCCTCCACTATACGTGACAACCCTCTGGACAGCTAAATAGGTGGGTCCAGGTCAATAGGCACATCAAATACATAGCCGCAAGGTAAAAAAAAAACACCCTTGTGCTTTTTATTTACAGTGTGGAAAATATCAAAACACCACAACCAATAACAAAACAAAACCCTTAGCTTATTTTTGAAGTGCGTGAAGCTTTAGAAGTTCTAAGTAACTTTTTTTTGAAGTCCCTATCTAACACAGTCAAGCATCCAAACTGCATGCTTGTCTCATATAACTCTCAAAATCAAAACGTTCAAACCAATAAGTTCATAACTCAAAGATTCCTTGGTCCACTGTCAATCCCCCTCCTCTTGTGAATGGCACACAACAGATACCCACTGACTAACCCAGTAAACCTCTGCTTTATGCGTTTTAAACAGTCACCTGCCCAATTGTCTTCCTGCAACTTCCTGTTATGTGACTGAGAACAGCAGCTTATTCCCCCAGATGTTTCTACGGGGAAAAGAGTCCTGACTATGCTCACAGTACAGTACAAAATACAAGAAAGATATTTCTCTTGAAATCCATCCAAAGAAGATCAACCTGTTACATTGTTGGGCTCAAATGAACGTTCGACTTTAACAGGATAAAAGAACTAAACATTTTTAAGCTCAAAAAGAACAGATTACAAGGGAACCTGATTCAAGTATTCAATATTCTAAAACGCATTGATGAAGTGAATGCTATGGACATCTTCAGAAACAACATTGAAACACAAACCAAAGGACACACATGTAAATTAAGAGGAAGTATATTTAAAATGGAGAGGACCCAATACTTTACACAAAGGGTTATGGGAGTTCGGAACACATAACCAGCCACGTTGTACAGTAAAAGGCAATAGCATTGTTTCTTTTGACATCCTCTCATCACTTAGCTACTAAAAGCCAAATGAGTTAAAAGGCCTCCTCTCCTCTACAAACATTGTGGTATTCTTCTTTAACGTTCTTTTCCAAGAGTCTAAAAATCCCTTTCAAATCCTTTGGTTTATTGTAGGGAGATCCACATGGTGAGGCTTTTGTCCCTCAAAACACACTGGCCTGACCAAATGCACTGTCTTTGTCATTATTGAATCGGTGCTCTACTAAACAATATTGAGCAAGGTATGTTAGTTACATAAGCAGTGGATTTTAATGAAAACACTCATTTGAAATTATTCACTATTTCTCCCTGAACAATAATAATTTGAAGGTTTGTGACCTAATCTTTTCATGTTAAAAGCTAACATCACATAAACTACTTTTCTTCAACAATGCATCTTCTTTGCAACAAAAACAAATGGGTGTAATGGAACATTTTGAAACACTAAAGAAGTCTGATGTCAATTTCAATGTCCATCCAATAAACTCCCATGAATGACTTACTTCTCAGTGCTCTCCAGTGAGAGAAATTCAACTTTTATTTTTAAACTAACCTTCTTCTAAGTTGACCTTGAAATCCTGTCTTGTAGCAGGTGAGCTTTAGCTTCAATTTAAAAGTGCAGGGAAGCTTGAAATATTAAAGTAAGAGTTTGTCTCACTATGATGTCAAAGAACCAAGACGTTTGGAAAAAATACAAAACCAGCATTACTCTGTTGCAAGATGTACCATTGAAAAGGCAAGAAAAGGTTTCAGCTTAGATTATGTAAAAGATTCTAACCATCTTCTCTTAGAAAATCTTTAGTTCACCCAGGAGAAGAGTGTGAAAAACGATTATCTTTATGCATTGTGGGAAAACTCATTTTACCGGAATTATACGTTGCAAACAAGGCTAGTCTGAAGTCAGCCATGCATGAGTTACACGAGAGATAAATAAGATAACCTGCCAAGATGTCTTGTGATAGAAACAACTGACTCTTCATTTGAATACCATGGGGTAAACAAATTAGTTTTTTCCATAAAGTTTTGTACTTCAACAATAGCAACAAACAGAAAAGTGAATCTTCAACATGCATTGATTGTCAACTTAAAAAATGCTGAATAATTAAATCAGAAAAATGAGTAAAACAATTCAGTACAGGGCCTTTAATTACCTTAATGGCTTTTACTAGGCTCTCATGTGCCTTACATCTAAAGCACAAAAACATAGTAAAAAATATCATAGTTTTGCCTTAAAGCATTTTTTTTAGTCTTAAAGTCAGTATAACATGAGTACTGCTAAACCCTCCCAGACACAATAACACATACACAGCTTGTGTAATACAACCAGAAGGAATAAGTTGTCTCATTTTATTTACAAGATCCACGGCAGCTATGCTGGGAAATGTCTATATTTTTGCAAGATCTGATATATAGCATCAGGACACCAATGGTGACCACAACATTGTTTTTTGTTCTATTTTATTTTCAGGCAATAATTTTCACATTTCATTTCTATATTTTACATTTTCTATTATTATTATTTTTTAGGGTATTTTAATGCATTATAACCAAGAAAAGTTTTTTTACAGGGGGTTAAATTTAAAAAGTGAAGCTCTCCTCATCTCTGCTCTAACCAAATATTGAAAGTTGATCTCTGCAATAAAGTATAGAAATTTATCTATACTCCTATCGTTCATCTTGATGGCATAGACTGCATTGCACATGCCACATATCTTCTCATAGCTTCTTGTTTCTTATTTCTTTTGTATTTCAACATTTTATAATTTTAGTTTCGGTGGTCTTTCTGATGTATGAGTTCGGAAAACCGTCTTTGAGAACACAGACGGAGAGATTAGAGTGGTCGTGGCCGTCAGAGGTGAAATGAGAAACAATGGGCTTGGAGAGATCTTCACAGCCCTGACGTGTTCTCTGAAGCGGAGAACCGTCTCTCAAAGACGGTTTTCTGAACTCATACATCAGAAAGACCACCGAAACTAAAATTATTCTGCAGCTAGGATCACACATTCTCCCTTCCCTTAACGACAGACTACTGTTCTTTTAAATTTTCTCCATTCATTGGAAGCTTCATTTCACACCTCTCTGCACCCATTCTGACTTCACACCTTCTGTCCCCTGCTCCCACCTCTTACTCTTCCTCCCTCCCAGCCTTTGTTCTCCCGCTACTTTACCTTTGCCTACTGCCCTGTCTCTCTCACTCCTGAAGAAGGCTCCACGGCCGAAACGTTGTGTTCTCTTTCTTCTTTTTTCAGCATGGAATAAACCTATTACTTGTTCCTTTGCAGCCTACACATGCTGACGCAGCTACCCACCTGAACTAATACAATGGAAACTGCTTAAAGACCAACAAATTCTTCTTGTATGTCTATTACCTTAAAAAAACAATATCTGGATATATGTAGTATGAAAGAAATGTCAAGAGCTCACTAACGTTTCTGGCAAAACATAATCTCCATGCCAAACTGAGCCCTTGATGCCTGAGTGGTGTAGCCAGGTTTTCTGATGGTCTGAAGGTATTTATCACAGGGTCTCAAGGTATGCATCCACTCCTGAGCTCAACATGTTTTTAATAAACACACAGTAGCTTGTCCAATTATCAGTATAAATATTTTTCAGGTAATGCAAAACAAATTCTGGTTAGAAGATGAGGTTGGATTATTTAGTATAATTGTACTTTATCTGCTGTGCAGGAATTATTTATTTAGGTTTGCATTTATGTAATAATTCCTAGTGGCCATCTTTTCTAAACTAAGAAAGGTATTGATCATCTGAATTAGGTTAGGTCACAGCTTAACTGTAGTCTGCAATTTCTCATTGCAAATTGATCACATTCAGAATAAAAAACTAAATATTAAACATCCCTGTTTTAACAGAAATAACATAATTGACATAATTTATATCACATTAGGACATTCAGTGGATCTCCTACTTGTTAAACCACTCGAGTGTATTTTTGCTTTGTGCTTTGGGTTATTGTCCTGCTGAAAGGTGAATTTGCATTCTAGTTTTTGAAGCAGGTTTTCCTCTATGATTTGCCTATACTTTGCTCCATCCATTTTCTCCTCAATTTTTCAGTCACTGAAAATCATCCCCATAAAACCACCATGCCTTACAATACTGATGGTGTTTATTGGGTGACGCAGTGTTTTGTGTTTGCACCAGACGTACTGTAACGCTTTGAATTAAGACCAAAAAGTTCCAGTATTGTCTTGTCTAACCTCTAAAGCTTTCGCAGCATGTTTACTGTGTGCTGCAAACTCCATGTTGGGATTTTAGTTGCCATAGGGTCCATATAGTTTTGGAGTTACCACGATATTCTTAACCCATGAACATTTCTCCTATCTCACTGATTGAACTCTGTAGCACTTTCAAAGTCACGTTTTGTTTCACGGTGGCATCACTAACCAGCTTCTTCCTTACCCAGTAGCTCAGTTTGGAGGGACAGTCTGATCTTGACAGGTTCTAGGTGGTATGATAGACCTGCCCATTCTTAGTAATTAGCTTCTTTTTATGCTGAAAGAATTATTCAGTGTCTTTGAAGTTTTGTACTCTTCTTCTTTCTACAACATTATCCGTTAGGTTGTTTTGAAAGCTCCTTGTCCTTCATGGTTAAATCATTGCTTGAAATTTACTACCATATTGAAGGACAAAGTCAGGTGAATTTATTCCAAAATCAAGTGAACCGCTATTACTGTACACAAAACTATTCTTCTAATTGTGTGATCAAATTAATTCTGAGCACCTGAAATGACTTGGGTTTGTTGTAGGAAATGAACGCATATGCAATCAAATATTATAGTTTTGGATTTGTTTTTAGAATTTTTGTTGATTTTTAATATCTTTTACAGATAAAATATTTCATTGTCAACATTAGAGTTTGATTATAAACATGTACTTTGTAGTTTGCAATTGAACACAATGGGACATCATTGGAAGGGTATGAATATTTTTGCCAGGCACTATTTGAATTAATAAAAATATACAATATCTAACATTTTGTTTTCTGTTCACAGACACTTCTTAAAGTCTATATTATCTAAACAAAACATTAATGGTACTGATACTTACCCATGAGGTAGGCAACAATTCTGCACATGGCGGCCCCAAAGATGAAGTCTTCCAGTAGGTTGGGAATGAGGGTGAAGGGCATGCAGAAAAGAGCCACCATCAGGTCACTGACAGCCAGGGAGAGTAGGAAGGAGTTGGTGACTGTGCGCATGCGTTTGTTCACAATCAGCACAATGATGATTAACGTGTTGCCAAAAACACTGAGCAGGAAAATCACAGAGTACAGCAGAATTCTCACAGAGTAGTCCAAGTCTAACAAAGGGAAGAATCAGAGAAAGAACAAGTGGTCAAATGGGAAGGCTTACAGTATGTTAAGACATTACTTTTGAAAAAAATTGCAATTGGCATATGAAGAAGTAAGAAAAGTATTCACTCGGACTGTCTCCATTTATAACATGGTTATTTGATGTGTTTAATGCTTGCAGTTTTGATTAATCAAGAACAACCCTGTTAGACACTGCTCCTAAAAACACCCAATTTCTGCTTGGAATGGATGTGCCCTTAATAATCTTGAATTATCTTAGAACGTATAGACAATACAGACCTGATTTGGGTCTTGAATTCAAGGGAACCCTTTGGTCATCAGGTCTAGACCTTCAGATTTTTTTTTAGATTTCCTACACAGTACACATTAGAAAGAAAAATCCCAAAACAAAAACAGAAAGCAGCATTTTTAACTTTAACTTAAATTCAGAAGTCAATTTTACAAGTTGTAGCACACCTAGGATGTCAATTTCTCTTTACAGATCTTCTCTAACAGGTCTACTGCCTTGGATAAAACTTTGAGATTGATTACACAAATCATTTGTTCAAAAATATTCAGGACCTAGAAAAGTTTTCTTTCTCTTCCACAAATTGAAAAAATAAAAATAATAAAAACATCATTGTTTGTATTGCAGTCATTCATGTGGAGCTAAAGAGTCTCTTCATGGTGTCTGGGCTATAAAAAGAGGGTTTTTACACTTTTTGCACACACATCTGGTGTGTATTGATGACAAGCTGACTAGAGCCTGTGATCTTCACTTGGCAGATGGACAGAATTAAAAAAGCAAAACAAAATCATGGCAAACACTCAGGATGCCTATAAACTTCCCCTGAGCTATTTCTACATAGACCAGCTTTTTAGGAGGTTGGTTTGGAAAAAAAACTCAGGACTTCTGGTTTTATCATCTGCTATTCTCAATTTCTTCTGTCCTTTATTTTGTCGTGGAATATGATGCCGATAGAAAATGTGTGGCTTCATGGTAAGGACAGTGGGTTTTATATATTTTGGGAAAATTTGCTTTTGCAGTTGTATTTTGCTGAAGAACTGTTACATTACCAATGGACTTTGGAGCATCTCTGAACTGCTTTACCAGGTAAATGATTTTATAAAAAAGGACTGCATTGCTGTATTTGAGTTTGAAATGCACGGTTGTATAGCTGAAATTGTCTTGTTTCTTATGATATAAAGTTTGTGGTGCTATGTTTTGATGTTGCTGTAAATTTGTATTCAGAATATATTGGAATCACGTGCATGTGTGATACATTGTGAAATGATAAAAAAAAGTTGCAATGTGAAATAAAATTCCACTAAGTATGCTGATGTCCAAATCTGTGATGTGTAAGTCTCCGAAGCCCAATACAAAGCTATGAATAAAAGGAAGCAATTCGGTCAATTTAGCTTGCTTGGATGCTAGTCGTGAATTGACTCATTATCTCACAATGCCATCTCTAAATGAAGACCAACTAATAAGCTTCAACAACATTACTTTGCATTATTGCATTTATTTTGGATTAAAATATGACTAAGATAATTCAAATGTTTTTAACTGTAAAAGTATTTTAAAAGATTGTGAAAATCTGTGCAATTTCAAATAAGAGACAATAACATTACAAATCTAAACTGAAAAGGGATCTAGTAACTATTAAATTGTTTGGGCAATAGAATTATTAATGTCTAATACCATTTTAGTAGTGATATTACGTTTGGAAGAAATAATGTGCAATCAGACATAGAACATGACCTGTCTGTGAGCCATTCCACAATTAAGGCAGAGACAAAGAAATCGACACCAGGGCAAGCAGTTAAAGCTCTGTGATGATTAATATTCAGATATTTAAAATCAGAACAATTGATTTGTTAATATTCAGTCTATGCAACTTACATATATTAGAGTAATATATCCTAAAAGGTGAATAGCATGAGAAGGCATTCAAATGCATAACTCTAATTACTTTAGATATGTTTTAGAAAAAATCATATGAATCTTTTCATATCAGAAAATAATAACAATAACATAACAATAATATATAAAAGCAGAAGTCATAAAAATACAATATATTTTATATAGTGGTGTAATTACTCATGTTACATTCACCTTTCATTTCTTTCTATACTACAAAACAAACAAAAAAATATTTCATTGCAAAATTCTGTGTTCAAAAATAATATTAACTGCTGATTCTAAATTGAAAAAGAACCAAAAATACCAAAAATGCCAAAAATGGGCATTTTAACAAACATAAAAATGAAATTTAATTTGAAGAACATGAGAGTAAGGTTCAAATGAGAGGAGGCCATTAAGCTTAACTAGTCCATTTGGTACTACAGCAAAACAGGTGTGGGGAGCATGGGCGAATCACCAAGGGGTGGGGCTGTCTCATTTAGGCGAGCTCCATTCTTCAAATTCTCATGAGGAAGTCACTGAATTGGCTGCACCTGGAGTCTCTAGCTTCCTTTAAAAACAGTTCCTGAGGTAGTCAGAGATTGTCTATTTGTAGACCCTCATGGTTCAGAAAAAAAAAGCATTTGAAAGATGATTTGGAGTTAGAGGTTTTTCGTCTGGTACAACAAATCCGAGGAAGATTATAGTGGAATAATATTGCAGCCTCGGTAGTTGGGATGCCGATAAATAATAAAGATGGTTAATGAGTGCACCTGGACAACTGGAAATAACTGAGTGAGGTTCTTGCCACTGCTATCAAGGGAAAGATATATGGTTACAGTTCATATTGAAACCCCTTGCCACTCTATCAGAAAGGGGATCTCTCACAAGTACATGCTGTAGAAGCTAAGTGATTTGTGGAGCTAAGGATCTGTTCAACTTCTGTTTCTTGAATTTTTTTGTCTGCTACCCACATGGGGGAAAACTAGCACTTGCCTGCACCACGCACCTGCCGGGTGTTTGCTTAGTCTTGAATTTTTATTTTTTGCTTTTTCTTCAATGTTCGTTTTGGAAGTTAAGGTCAATGTCCTGCTAGAATGGATGTACCCTTTAATATTGACTTAGAGTTCACCTTGAACATCCTGTATGAACCTTCCTTTTTACATGTCTTATTCACCACACAAATGAGAAAGAAAAAACAACTCAGACATATACAGTACTATTATCTTTCTTTAGAAGGAAACTTCTCCATTTGTGGCACACCTTGGATTTAAATGTATTTTTCTAGGTCTTCTCTAAAATGTCTACTACCTTGGATAAAAAATTAAAAGTGACTGAAAAAATACAGAAAATCTGCACAAGCTTGTATGAAGATGACACATGGAATGGTTTTGCTGGTTTCCTTCTGTCTAGTTTCTCTTAACGTGATGCCGCATGCCTTAGAAAATGAGCGTCACGTATGCAATCCACCCCTTTTTAGATCCCTTTCCTTCTATTTTATTTCAATCCTCTTTTTCTGCCCTCTGCCCTCTTAACCTCAACATATTAAAGGAGTCCTTGTGCACTAGAGTGGTACTAATGCCATTTAAAATGGATACAGTGGATACAGTTACCCTTATGAACAGTTAAGAATAGTTTTACAATCACAGTTTAGGAATACAACACTCACAGATGAATAATATAAATGATCAAAGTTATACATATTAACAAATACATTTTCTGAAATAAAATATTCATTATATATATTATAGTAGTAGAAACAAGACATTAAACTTCAATTTAATATTCAGCAAAATTCCTTGTAATTCATGGAAGCTTTTTTGAAGAACTATTCAATTCAAACATTTGTGGAAAGTTTTTCTTTTTCCCATTTAACTTTCATTTTCTTTTCACTAAATTCATTCAAGCAAGAGCTTGCTTGAGTCACACAGTATATCTCAGGATTTATTGAGGTATCCATGTCCACCATAGGAGTGGACTTATTTAGTAAAATTATGTTTAAACTGTATAATCTGCTTGAGTAGATAAACCAAATAGCAAAAAGGAGTGGAACAAGAAAAAAGGTGCAAGAAAAAAAATAAATGCTTCCATAATTATGGGTCTAGTCTTTCTGAAGAACAAGGGTTCTCATCACTGATTCCTGTTACTGTCCTTGATTAGCACTTATGAGAAACACTCGACAGGTCTTTCTGCTCATGCCGAGTAAAATATTTTATCCAATCACAATAATAAACAGCAGATGTATGATTCAAGTTTATTTTGCTAAAGTTTAAATAGAAAGCATTTTTTTTACACAACAGTACATACTTTCATCAAAGTTCCAATCAAACACACACACAGAATACATATTTTCTTACTTGATCTGCTATTTAAATATTTAATTTAAATAAAAATTAAATAAATATTTAAAACTTCAACTGAAAATCAAATAAACACACATTATATCTTTGTCACACAGGTGTGGGAAATGTAAAGTGAGCTAATCTTGACTACTAATGAGTGTTTATAGTGAAGATTTCAGGCAATTTTTATTTTGTTAAATTGTAATTCATATTACAGTTAAATAACATGAATTTTAATTATTTTAAGTAATTACCTCCATCTCTATATTAATGTTATAAATAGATTATTATCAATGGATATTTATTAATATAGATAATATTCATTAAGGTGGGTAGCTGGGTCAGCATGCGTAGGCTGCAAAGGAACAAGTAGTAGGCTTATTCCATGCTGAAAAGAGAAGAAAGAAAACACGTTTCAGCTGTGGAGCCTTCTTCGGGTGTAAGGGGTGGCTTACCTAGATAATATGAATTACCTCTATAAAAAAATAATGCTAGTACTGTTGGAAAAAACAATTACTAGACCCTCCAAAAAAAAAAAAGAAAATGAACTCATTCTGCATACTGTATATACCGCAACACATATTCATTTCTGGTTTCGCTTGTTTTGTTTTTCTCACTGTAAACATTAGCACAGCCCCAAGTCATATACAGTAAGGATCCTTCCTCTCCACCCATCACAATTTCACAGAAGAATAATTTACTTTCTTTTATTCATTGAGCAAGCCTCTGAAGTAGGCCAAAATAGCAATTAACACAGACTAAT